CTGGGTCCCTGCTGTCCCCTAAACAGAGTTCACCTGTTCATGTGCCCATCCCTTCACCTGGGTGCTCTGCCCTCATCTCTTCACCTGGGTGCTCTGCCCTCATCCCTTCACCTGGGTGCTCTGCCCTCCACCTACTCAACGCGGGGGCTGTCTTGGTTTCCACAATCTGGAGAGTTCTCGTAAGGAACCCGTCTCCGCACTCCTCGCTTGCCATCCGTCCTTGCCACTTCTTCCCTGTTTATACTTTTCATTCACCCACCTTATAAAAGTTTCTGGAGTGGAGGCCAGGCCCAGTGGCTCAGGCCTGTAATCTACATTTTGGGAGGCTGAGGCAGGTGGATCACCTGAGACCAGGAGTTTGAGACCAACTTGACCAACATGGCAAAATCCCATCTCTATAAAAATACAAAAATTAGCCAGGCGTGGTGGCACACACCTGTAATCCCAGCTACTCAGGAGGCTGAGGCATGAGAATAGCTTGAACCCAGGAGGCAGAGGTTGCAATGAGCTGAGATCATGCCACTGTACTCCAGCCTGGATGACAGAGCCAGAATCCATCTCAAAAAATAAAAATAAAAATAAAAGTTTTGGAGTGCTCATAGGGGTGTGTGGATTGACTGAGGGTAAGCATTCCAGGGACATGATGCATGCCACCTGGAAGATGAAGGAAAATTGGGAGGAGGGGAAGAAGGAACCTGCCAATATACAGAAATAACAAGAACAATATTTGGTGTGGAGTCTTGTTATCCAAAGGACCTTCACAGTGAGATGTCCAGAAGCAGCTATGAAGTAGACCAATAGACATCCTGCCAATCTCACCAGTACACAGATGGAGGCTCAGAGAGGAGGAGTGGCCTTGTCCGGAGTTTCACCATCAGCCAGTGTCAGGACCAGGAACTGAAACCACAGCTCTGGTCCATGTTCTGATGGGCTGAGCAAAAGAACTCCTCTAGGGCTGGATGCAGTGCCTCACGCCTGTAATCCCAGCTCTTTGGGAATCCACTCGAGGCGGGTGCATCACTTGAGCCCAGGTATTCAAGAGCAGCCCTGGCAACATGGTGAAAACCCTGTGTCTACCAAAAATAAAAAAAATTAGCTAGTCTCATAACCCAGTCTCAGAATATAAATAAATAGAGTTTAAAATTAGAAAAAATTGAAAAAAAGAGAACTCTTCTGGGGGATGAATGTCGGCCGCGTGCCAAGGTCCTTATCCATAGCATGACTGGAACTTCTCAGACTCCACTTTGAGAATGAGCCCTAACATCCGGCTTCCTCAAGGTGAAATGAACACTTCACACACAAACAGAAGCTGGGGCACATGGCCTTTTTTTACCAGCTTCTTTTCTCACAGGACAACCAGCGATTGCTTCGCCAAATTTTTAGTCACCCTATCACCTTCTTGTTTCTCAAACTGTGGTCCCCGTACCAGTGGCATCAGCATTTCTGGGAGCTAGTGAGAAATCTAAATTCTTAGATTCCAACCCAGGCCTCCTGAACCAGAATCTGCTGCCTAACAAGATCCCAGGTGTTTCCTGTGTGCATGGAAGATTGAGAAGTACAGGCGCCAGTTACTAGCTCTATTCTCTGTTGAACTCCTGGGCTCAAGCGATCCTCCTGCCTTGGCCTCCGAAAGTGCTGGGATTACAGGTGTGAGCCACCACACCCAGCCTGACTTCACTTTACAGTTTTCCCTCTTCCCCGGTGTAATTTACAGTCCTTTAGTCTCTTTTTCTATCCCACTGCGGACCTTAGTTTCCTTGCTGGTCTTTCGCCCCTCTTCTCCCTCTCAAAACTACAAAAGGGGGAAAAATGATGTGTCTTATAAATGAGCGTTTAGGACTTGTGGTAGGCCAGATGGTGGGAAGCACCAGTTTTTCCTAATTTGTGGCAGGATAAGGATCATCTGAGGTGCTTGTTGAACATACAGCCTCCTTGTCCCATCTCTGGAGATTCCCCAAAACACTGGTTCTAGGACAGGGTGGGGTGTTTGTGTGGGTATGTAATGCCCACAGGGGACTCTTTTCCTGAGGGAAGTTCAAGGATTCTCTGCTCGCACCCTGTGGTTCACAGTTCCTGCTGTGCATTAGAACCACCTGGTGAGCTTTTAAACCAACTGAAGCCAAGAATGCACTCTCAGCAATTCCATTTGATTGGGTGAGGGTAGATCCCAGGCATTTTGCCTTTTTTTTTTTTAGGTTCTCCAGGTAATTCTAATGTATAAGCAGTGTTCACAACAACAGTCTCAATCCACTGGTCTCAAAATGTGGCCCATGGACCAGCAGTGCCAGCACAACCTGGGAACTTGTCAGAAATGCACATTTGAGGGGCCCACCCTCCAGAACTACCACATCAGAAGTCTGGAGGTGGGCCAGTTATCTATGCTGTAATAAGTTCTCCAGACAACACTGGTTACATCATTTTCAGGGGCTAGTGCAAAATGAAAACACACAATCAATCCCTTGTTCAGAAATTCAGACTTTCAAGACAGTGACTACATGACACTGAGCCAAGCAGAGAGCCCTCTGAGCATGCAGCCCTGTGTGACTACACTGAACATGCACCCATGAAGGTGACTCTGCATCCGAGTGACTCTGGTGCATGCTAAAATCTGAGAACCTAGAGTTTACATTCTCCTGCTGGCTTATAGCTCATGTTTCTGCTTCTTGGCATGGTCCGAGGGTGACACTCAGGACTTGTAAGGCACTAGCTCTGGGATGATGATAATAATAGAACCATTCATTGATCATATGTGATGTACCAGGCACTGGCCTTGGCACTTCCCAGGCATTATCTCACTCAAGTCTCATCACACCCTCAGGAGGCAGGTCTGTTAGCTTCATTTGCATTGTACAGATGGGAAAACTGAACCAAGGCCAATGATGATTAGTTGGTTGAATATTTCAAATATCACCTTCCTTCCTGCCTGCTTCTTCACCCTTCCCCCTGCTGCAGTCATTATCAACCCTGAGAACATCCTTACTCCTAACTCCATGGGTGAGGACTTATTGGAACAGAATTGCCTGAAAGGTCTCTAACTGGGAGCCTAGCCTTTTCTCCAGCAGGATAGAAGGGTTTAGAATCACAGGTTTTCTGCTTATTGTGCCAATGAAGAATCGGAGGTTCACACAGGGGACAGAACTAGCAAGCAGCGGAGTCAAGATTTGAATCCCAGGACACGTTGATCTCAAGGGCAACTGCAAGTCCTAAACACCGGTTTGTAAGACACATCATCTCCCCCTTTTTTGTAGTTGTGATAGGGAGCAGAGGGGTGAAAGACCAGCAAGGAAACTAAAGTCTTTAGTGGGCTGGAAAAAAAAAGACTATGGACTGTAAATTACACTGGAGAAGAGGGGGAACTATAAGTGAAGTCAGGCTGGGTGGGCATGGTGGCTCATGCCTGTAATCCCAGCACTTTGGGAGACCAAGGCAGGAGGATCACTTGAGCCCAGAAGTTAAGACCAGCCTGGACAATATAGTGAGACTCCATCTCTATAAAATAAAAATTAAAAAAATAATTAGCTAAGCATGGTGGTGTGCTCCTGTAGTCCTAGCTACTTGGGAGACTGAAGTGGGAGGACTGCTTGAACCTGGAGGTCGAGGCTGCACTGAGCTATGATTGTGCCACTGCACTCCAGCCTGGGCAACAGACGGAGACCCTGTCTCAAAAAACAAGATAAAGTGAAATTGACCGTGTGTTCAATCTGGCCACCAGTTTGCTGGGTATCCCTGAGCAAATTATGTTACCTCTCTGAGTCTGATTCGTCTTCTATAAAATGGGTATAATATCTATTTTTATGGGATACTTGTAAAAATTCAGTGAGATTATAGTTTAAACAAGCCAAAGAGTGTAATCTGACTCCTGCCACAGAGTAAATGCTCACTAAAAGGTGTTATTACTGTTGAAGAGGCCTTTGCCCAAGCTGGTGGGATTTTGAGTATCCTCGCCACCCCTCCCATGTGATGGAGCTGAATAAATTAGAAAATTCAGGACAGAGCTGGGAGGTCTGGGGCTGTGTCCCAGCTCCACCACAAAGTCATTTAGACCTTGGATTTGTCCATACTCCATTCCAGGCCTTGCTGTCCTCATCTGACAGTATCAGGTCTGAACCAGTGGTAAGGCTCTCCAAGACCCTGCTTTACTCTGAGCATGGCAGAATCCATTTGCATTGAAAGCCTCCTTCCTGAGCACTTGGTTTACTGGAAGATATTTGAAAGAAGACTGAGAAGGGAGAGGTTCCAGGGGCAAGTTGCCTTGAGGTTTGAATCTGGCATCTGCTAACTATTAACTGGAAGAAGTTTGGAAACATAAAATCCTCTATGTGCTGACCCTTGGGGACCTGGCTTCAAAGGTGGTCCTCACACTGCTATTAAGACAATCACAATCCCAGGCCCTCCATGAGCCCCAGAACTGAATTCTGAATAACATACCTTGTGCTGCAGCTTCAGGAGCTTCAGAACACACTACTCCAACATATGGCACCTTGGCATATTGGATATTTAAAGCTAAAGGAATTTGAGAAACCACAGGTGCAGGAAGGACTCTGACCTTCCCTGAAGCAGGTCATAAGCCCCTCGTGTGAGAGGGTCCCCTCCCTGTACCGGGAGCAAGGAGCATCCTTCTCTCTGAAGACAGAGGGACCCTGAGAGGAATCCACATGAGCAGGCCTTGCTAAGTGTCCCCAGCTCACTGCTCATAGCCCACATCCTTTGGTCCTATCACGGTTTTCCATTTTTCACTCTTCCCCAAACCTGGTAACTGTTTTACTGTTTTTTTGGGGGTCTTCATTTTCCTATAAAGGCTGCTGTGTCACATAAAACTTGTATGAAATAAATTACATGCTCTTCTGTTAACCCTTGTCAATTTAATTTTCAGATGAAGCCAGGGATCCGATGAGGGTGGAGAAAAACACGTTCCTCCCCTACAAGCTCAACTTTTCCCTTCCATTCCTTTCGCAGGGTACATTCCCCAGAAAGCACACTCAAAGATGGAGATTAGCGAGCAGGAGGTTTACTAGGGAGTTCTCAAGGGATCAACATCTGGAGAAGGGAAGGGAAGGAAGTCAAATTGGGCAAAGGGAGACACTGAGCTACAATGTAGTCATGAGGAAGGTCTCAGCCCACTCGACAGGGAATTAATTCTTTGCTGGGAATATCTTTCTGAGTCATCCAAGTTGAGGCTGAGAGGCTCGGGACTCCACACCCTCTTGTCAATCAGTCATTAGATGCAGCCCGCCACGGAAGGGGGCGTGACAGTGGCAAGGAGGCAGCTCTCTTCCACCAAGGCAATCCCCTTGGGTGCTGACAACTGAGGGCTGTCAGCAGGCAGCTCTCCCAGCAGCTGGGGGCCTAAATGCCTCTCTCCTTAAGGATGATTTCGGTAGCTCATCACAGCCTCCACCCGCCACTCCTCCTTCTTCCTAATCATGCTGCATAGGAAATACAAACCTCCTTTATCTCAGCCTTGGCAAGTGTTGGTTGAGTGAAGATTGTACAGTTGCTTGCTTTTTCACCAATTTAGCCCGTACGTCATAAAAGTAGATCCAGTCTGGAGAGTCGGGGTTGAGTAGAGGTGGTGATGTGGGATGGCCCTGTCCCAACAGTAAGAGCTATCACTTACTGAATGCTAATTGTCTTCTGGGCTTAGGATGTTTCTGCTTTCCTTTAAAGTCCTTCAGCATAGGTAGTGTGATATTATGATTTTGCTTAATCTATAACCCGGTAATAATGAGCAGCCCAATCAAGAATGAATGGTTCAGCTGAGCCACACTCATGCCTGTAATCCCACTACTTTGGGAGGCTGAGGCGGGCAGATCACTTGAGGTCAGGAGTTCAAGACCAGTCTGCCTAACATGGTGAAACCCCATCTCTACAAATATACAAAAAAAAAAAAAAAAAAAATAGCTGGGGTTGGTGGTGCCTGCCTTTAGTCCCAGCTACTCGAGAGGCTAAGGCAGGAGAATCACTTGGACCCGGGAGGCAGAGGTTGCAGTGAGCTGAGGTTGCACCACTGCACCCCAGCCTGGGCGACAGAGTGAGACTCCATCTCAAGAAAAAGAATGAAAGGCCAGAAAGCTTATTCTAGAGCTGATTTCTGTAAGCCCTTGTTTCCCACATCTTGAGAAACAATGAAAGCTTTGTTAACCAGCACCCGGAATGTCAGAAATGAGAGTGTGCATGTCTCTGTGTAAGTATTGGCCTGTTGACCAGCTCAATGCATATTAGAAATGGGCTCTCCTTGGTGAAATTAAGGCATTCACAATATATGGATTAAATATTGGCTTAAATCCTGGAGAGACATGCCACATGTTTTCACGAACACGATAGAATAATTCAGAGAAGTCTGTAGACTTTACCCTAAGAAAATCACTAGACAAAAATCATTTAATGCTCTCATGAATGAATCTTTTCATGCTAGGTGCTGGCTGCAACAAAATAGGCCATATGAGCTGTTTTTGTACCTGCTTGCTAAAACAGTAATAATTGATAAGCTCTCCTGTGTGTGGTAGAGAGTCCCTTTCTTTAAAGCTCAGAAACAAAGCCATGTGGAGAGTGGCAAACCCTTAGCACCTCAAACCTCTTCACTGGCTGCTCTGCATGTACCGCAAAAGAACCTGGGGTCATCCTCTACCAAACTGTCTCTGGTCAGTTTGCATCTGGGCACAGTACCTGGTGTTATGTGCATGTACTTTATTTAATGCCCACAACAACCCTATCAGATAGATAGTGTTATTTATACCCATTTTATTAGTGAGAAGCCCAAACTTCAGAGTGATTTCATAACTCACCCAAGGTCTTCATAGCAGATCCAACCAGGATTTGGACCCAGGTCTGTTTGTTCTCCAAGTTCTTCACTTCTGGCCTACGCTGCCTGCAGGAGGGCTGTCTGCAAAGTCAGGAGGGGAAATGAAGTGGGCATGGGGTTTCCTGGTGGGCTATTCTCTATTCTTCCATGACCCATGGAAGAACAGTATTAGGGGCCGGGCATGGTGGCTTACACCTTTAATCCTAGCACTTTGAGAGGCCGAGGTGGTCAGATCACCTGAGGTCAGGAGTTCAAGACTAGCCTGGCCAACATGGTGAAACCCCCGTCTCTACTAAAAATAACAAAAATTAGCTGGGCATGGTGGTGCACCTGTAATCCCAGCTACTCAGAAAGCAGAGGCATGAGAATTGTTTGAACCCGGGAGGCAGAGGTTCAGTGAGCAGAGATTGTGCCACTGCACTCTAGCCTGGGTGACAGAACAAGACTCCATCTAAAAAAAAAAAAGAACAGTATTAGGGAAGTGGCCTACCTGCCTGCATGTCTATGTGGCACAGCTCCAAAAGTTTTAAGCCCATCCATGTGTCTTGGGAATTTTTTAAATTTCACCAATAAGAGCTCATTTCTAATATTCATCAGGCTGGTCAACAGGACAATATTTTTACCCCCCAAATAAACAAATACATAAAAATAAAACAAAACTCATATCTGACTCTCTGGATGCTAAGGCCTGGCGACTGTGCTGCCATGAGCCATCCAGGTGTTCCTCATCAAGGTGCTTCAACCTTCCAGGCTTTGCTTACTTCCTCCAGAAGGGAGGTCTTGCCCCCTAGAGGTTTATGTTTGTGATATACATGTGTGTGTTAAGAAGTACAAAGTAGGATGCCAAGGCGATGGAAACAATAATGAGACTAAAAATAGGCTAAAATGCCCTAGAGAAGGCATCTGCTGCCCAGACAAGAACATCAGAAAGTGTGGGCTTTCTGGGCCGGGCACGGTGGCTCATGCCTGTAATCCTAGCACTTTGTGAGGCCGAAATGGGTGGATTGCCTGAGCTCAGGAGGTTGAGACCAGCCTGGACAACATAGCAAAACCTCGTCTCTACTAAAAATACACAAATTAGCTGGGCATGGTGGTGGGGCACCTGCAATCCCAGCTACTGGGGAGGCTGAGGCACAAGAATTGCTTGAACCCAGGAGGCTACTGCCTCCAGCCTGGGTGACAGAGTGAAACTCTGTGAAAGAAGGAAAGAAAGAAAGAGATAAAGAGAGAAAGAGAGAAAGAGAGAGAGGGAGAGAGGGAGGGAGGGAGGGAAGGAGGAAGGGAGGAAGGGAAGGAAGGAACCTTTTGGTGAGCAAAGCTGGACTGTGGGCAGTGGAAAGAGGAATGCCTCTGGAACCAGCCCCCTGGTATAGAAGATGGTGTTGGCCCCGTCTCCTGCCTTTGGCATTCACCATTGCTGTACACAACACCAGCTTCTTACCACAGAAACCTGCCACTCTGTCTGGGGCTGTCTCTGGCCACAGGAGCATGCTCAGTCCATGCACTGGCCGGGCTGGAAGTGCCCAGGGTTGTTCCCAAGAGCAGCCCCAACCAAAGATGAAGGGAATTGGGTAAATGCCCATGCTTCCTAGCCTCTGGGAGGATGGCTCTGAGGCAGGTTCTGTTCTACAAAGTCTCCGTGGTCCCCAGTGGGAATGAGCTTCATTGCACACAGAGATGACCTGCTTGTGAACACACTCTCATTCTACTTCCTTCCCTCCCTCCGTTTCACTTCCCCATCCCCCTCCCAGCACTCCCTGGGGCCACTTCCCTAATTAACTGTATGTGCTCAAATATTTGCTTCCATGGGAACCAAATTACCTGGTTCAAATCCATACTCTGCCCCTGGCCAGCTGTGTCTTAGGAACATTACTCCACTCCCCTGAACCGCAGCATCCTCGGCTGGGATCGTGAGATGACAAAAGTAGAACAAACCTCACCAGACAGGTGTGAAGATTCCAGAAAATAGTCCGTGTCAATAGTTTAGAGCAGCATCTGGCATTCAGCAGACACACAATAAATGCTAGTGTTTTTATTATTTATTATAATTATTGCTTATTATTGATAGCCCCTGAGATTTCCTTGGCCAAGTTCAAGTCCATTCTGAGAGTTCTAAGCTCCCAAACTTCATACTTCCTCCGGGTGAATCTCCCTGGTTGTTTCAGGGAATCTAATTCATTTATTCACTTAACGTATCTTTAGCAAATATTGACTTAACACCTATTATGTCCAAGACACAGTGTGACAGTGGATATAAAAAATAAGATGAGGTCACGGTCTCCAGGGAGATAAGACGTATCCACACATAGCTACCGTCTAAGGCAAACTGTGATAAGTGTTCTTGTGTGTGTGTCAATAGAGCATAAAGTGAGTTCAGAGGAGGGTGAAGAAAATTGTGTATGGTATGAAGGAGTATTGGCAGAGTTGGGTTTGGAAAGGGGTAGAACTGCAGCAGAGGAGATGGAGGGGAGAGGATACAATACATGGAGAGGGAGAAAGTGATAAATTCTAGGAGTATGGCATCCCAGAGACAGCTCAACTATATCTTAATGTGAGATCCCATAGATTGATGAGCCTCTATCTCTCAGAGCTAAAGGGACAGCGGATTCTCCCCCAAATTATTATTACCATTCCTGACACTTACATAGTACTTACCCTGCCCTAGGAACTATAGGGGATGTGCTACGTATGTTAGCTGATTTAATCTTCACCTTCAGGGTCAGCACAACTATGACCTCCACTTGACAGATAAGAACACTGAGGCTGGAGGGGTTAAATGTCTTGCTCCAGCTCCCGCGGAAGCTAAGTGCCTGTCACCTAATCCCACGCGGTCTGGTTCCAAGGTTCACACTCTACACTGCCTCTCAAGTGCGGCACCTTTTCAGGATTTTAAGGGAATATGTTGCTGTGATGTTCACTGAGCTTGAGGAGAGACTGAAAGAAAGCCCTTCAGCCCCATACAGGAAGTCCCCAAAGGATGGATGGTTCTGGAAGTTACGGGTTACCAGGACAACGCACCCCCTCAGCCTGGCCACGCCCCCGGACTCCCGCTCACTGGTTGCAAAACTCAGCTTTGCCCCTGCCCAGAGCTTTCCTTCCCGGGGCCCGCTGGGGAAGCACCCGCGGCTTGTGGTGGCTGTGGTTTGGTGCCCAGGACCCACACGTCAAAGGAGCTCATTCGGAAGCAGAGGCACGCGCTTGTCCCCAGAACTCAAACTCCAGAGTCCCTCCAGTAGGTGGTACAGAGGCGAGTTTGACCCTAAACAAAACAGGGCAGGGTCTTCCTGTTTGTTTTCTTCCTCCAGCGGGGAGCAACGGCTGCTAATTGGATAGTGAAGCGACCGATTTATTATTCTCTTACCCGTGCTGAGCAGAGCTGTAGGAAATCTCCGGGGCCGGGAGCAGCACAGCTGGGTACGTCGGGGTCGCTCTGAGGAGGGCCAAAGCTGCCGGCTGCCATGTTTTATTTGGCCTGCCCAGTGTTTAAAAAAAAGTGTTTTTAAATAGATGCTGACATTTTGAAAAGGGGAAGATGATACATACACTTCTACATCTCCGACTTGTGTCAAGAAATGGGAAGATCTGGGCCCAGATCCCCATAGGTCAGCGATGAGGGGGACCGAGCAGGGGCGGCCCTTTAGACGGTCGCAGAGTCCCAGCCACCAGCCCTGTTCACTTTTCTTACCTCTCTGGCCCCGTCGGCATTTGAGCCCGGGACCCCAGACGAAATGATGCGCTTCCTCTTAGAACCCCCGCTAATCTGAGGACGGGGTCACCCCACAGACGCCATGGCTCAGCAAGCAGACCAGTGGCCAAGGAGTCTGGCAAGGGGCCCTTGGTGAGTGGGTTTAATGACAGATTCAGTTGCCCGTTAGGAAGCCATTAGAACACAGCGCGATGCGTCACTGGGTAAACGAGAGGGGCTGAAGTCAGAGACAGGCTCTTGGAGCGCTTGATCCAATTTAATTCTTCTATTAAAAAAAAAAAAAAAAACCCTAGGCAGATGAGAGTGGAAGCTGTAAATCACCCTCTATGCAATGGCTCATCATAAGGGATATGGAGCAAAATTAGAGGAGGCACGAGAAGGAAAGCCGGTGATGAATAAGGCAGGGGCTGCTGCGGCGTGATTGAAGACAGGCTGGGAATGCGGGAGAAGCCGCTGGAAACTGGTTTGGGCTGGAGGTCTCATTACCGCATCCCAAGTCAGAAAAGCCCAGAACCCAGCCTTCTGCTCTGCCTTGGGGAGTAGGATGGGAGAATCTGTGTGCAGTAAACTTCCTGAGACAGTGCCTCATAGTGCCATCTACATGGAATGTGAAGTCAATCAGAATGTCTCTAAATCCTGGCTCTATTGGGTTTTGGCTGTGTGACTTTGGGTAAGTTACTTAACCTCTCTGAGTCACATTTTCCACCTGTGTTAAAGGAGGTAATCATCGCAAATGCAAAGGGTGGTGCTGAATATCAGGGTGGGCACCCGCTAAGTGATGCTTTCTTCTGTTTAATGTTGTAAAGGATATAAATGAGATGGTCCCTAAATGAGGGTAGATTTTACTCCCCTTTAGCTCAGGTGGCACTTGTCAGGGAGATCAAGTAGGTTCTGTTCTTCCCTAGTAAAAGCAGGAAGGCTTTCCTGGGTGGGGTCCTCTGAGTGCTGGAAGAAGGGGAGGGTGTCCACTCAGAGAGGAGGCAGGAGGGCAGCCTTGCACACACTGGGCACCTCTGGGCCTCCAGCACTGGATGTCAGCTGTGCTTGTTGAATGGATGTGCTGCCTTCAATCCCCACATCTGTTCTCTGCCCTTCTCTATCCTCTCTGTGCCCTGGGATGCTGATCCTGGCAATACCTCACCCAGTGTCTTTATTTGGGTTCTCCCAAAAGCAGAGCCCCAGATAAGGATGTGAGGGTAGCCTGTTTCTTGGGGAGCTTATGGTGAATGTGGAGCTCCCCATGCACGACCCCCTTCCAGGAGGGACTGATTGCCCCGCTGTTGCAACTGATTGCCCCTCCTTCAGGATTTGCCTAAACTACAGAGACAGCCACGGACATGCCCTCCTGGGCTGTTCACATCCTCATCTGCGTGGGGGCACAGAAGCCTGGCCATTCAGCCCATGGGAGACTCAAGACATGCTCCCAGCAACCTGCGGGGCTGCCCAAGGCTTCGCTGATCCTGCACCCCTGCATCACATCTCAGCTTCCCCCTCTGCCCAAATCTACTTCCTCCCTATTCCTTTCACAGGTATTGATTCCCTAATGAAAACCTTGCACCCCATCTTCCATCTCAGAGTCTTCTTGCAGAGAACCCAACCTGTGGCAGAGCTGGTCTCAGGACTCGGAGCGAGGGAGCAGGGAAAGAGGACAGGAAAGCAGGGACAGTCAATTTAAGGGTATGTTGTCTGAGACAAAGATTCTGCTAGGACCTCTGAGATGAGTACAAGATGCCTGGAGCCATTCACTGGGCAGTATCTGTCCATCAGCTCCCAGGCCCCAAAGAACCAGAGATGCCTGTGAGGGCTTTCACTGCCCTGCATTTCTGGGCTTCACATGTGCACTGGCTGAGAGGGCTCCCTGTCTTCAAGGACGCTCCTGAGCAGAAAGTGGGTGCATTTGAGGTGGGATGCTGTCTTGAGAATCTGAGCTTTATGAGAAGCAGACCCAGGGGGCATGGTGTGGGGCATCCCAAAGGACCTTCCATACATTAGGTGCCTTGGCCTTGGGGAGGAGCCCTCGGGAGTTCTGAGGGTGGGAGAAGAGGTAGGTGGGGCTAATCCTTCCCCATTCCCTCCCTGCCTCAGTACCAGGGCTCAGGCAGTAGCGCTGCCAGCTCTTCCTGGGATCAGAATCATGGCCCCGTTCCCCTTGTCCCTTCAGGCCGAGGAACATAAGGGCTTCCCATGGTTACTGGTGTCTGAGTGCCTCAACCTCCCTTGCTGGTTCCTTTCTCCTGCCCACACCTTTGTCAATAGTCCCCCCACCGAAGTCTCTTTGGTTGAGCAGTTGGTGGGGATGCTGACTGATAAAATGGTCTAGGCCACTGCTCACTGCTTAAAGCCTTGCTTCAGAGTGACCTTCTAGGGCCCTGCAGTTCCCCCTTCTCCAACCCCTCCAGCCTCTCCAACCCTTCTCCCTCCCAGCTGGTCTGGGTTCCCTACCGCATCTACTTGCTTTTGAATCTGTTTCTTGTAGATAAATGTGTGTTCTCCTCTTTCACAGCCTTACTGTTTGATTTGGAGAAAGAAAAAAACCCAATTCTATAAAGCTATTAAATGTTTTCCTTTCACAAACACCAGTTTTGTATATCAGAAGCACTGCCTTTCATGCCTATTGAGTTCTCAGAAATGGGCTTCAAGTGCCTATTTCAGGAGTTGAAATCTGAACATCAGCTCTTTCTTCCTCTCTGCATTCCTGCCACACAATCCTAATCCTCTCCAGTGTGATGGGTCCCTCTGGCTGGGTAGAAGGGAGATCATTTAAAGGAAATGTGAAAAAGAAAAGAGTAGTATTCCATTTCAAGAGATTTTTCTCCTGACACAGTTATTTTCAACAGGTGACAGGTATTGAAACTGATGAAAGATTCTTGGGTGAATACAAACCACTCCCCGCCCCTGTCCCCAGCACACATTCTCCAGAAATTCCAGAACGCCCAGTCAGTGGATTCATTCCACACATATTTAGTGCCTAACTACATGCCAAGGAGCTGGGTGCTAAGAACAAAAAAGTACGACTCCTGCCCTCTGCCATAGAGTTTGTGATCTGTGTTGATGCATTAGAGATTAATCCAATGATTGCACAAAATGTGATGTTGCAATTTTGCCTTTGCACTTGCTGTTCCCTCTGCCTGGAATGCTTGTCCCTGCAAGGTGTCTGCCCGGCTTCCTCTAGGCCTTTTCACAATCATCCCTCTTCACTCATGCCCTTCATGGCCACTCTGTCAACATTCCTGCTCTTTTTTTTCTCTCTAGCATACTTCTCTGTTTATAGACCATCTATCCCAGAATGTAAGCTTCAGAAAAATACAGATTTTTCTTTTTGTAAAGTATTTGATTGTTCTCTGCAGAGAACAAAATTCCCAGAGCAGAAAACAATGCATGGGATATAGTAGGCGCTCAAACAATGTATATTGAATGAATAAACATGGACCACACTAAGTGCTAACGAGCATGGGCTGAGAAGGATTAGAGACAAGAGAGTTTCCAAGGGAACTGATAGTTGGGCTGATCTGAGGAAAGTTGGGAGGCATTAAGTAAGCCTAAAGGAGAGGGAAATAAATCCGTGCAGGAAACACTAGCATATGCCAGGGTGCTGGGTGAGCAGGAGCATGGTGGGCTTAAGAAACTAGAAGGAGGCCAGGTGCAGTGGCTCATGCCTGTAATCCCAACACTTTGGGAGGCTGAGACGGGTGGATCATGAGGTCAGGAGATCAAGATTATCCTGGTTAATACGGTGAAACCCCATCTCTACTAAAAATACAAAAAAAAATTAGCCGGGCGTGTTGGCAGGCACCTGTAGTTCTAGCTGCTCGGGAGGCTGAGGCAGGAGAATGGTGGAACCTGAGAGGCGGAGCTTGCAGTGAGCCAAGATCGCACCACTGCACTCCAGCCTGGGCAACAGAGCAAGATTCCATCTCAAAAAAAAAAAAAAAAGAGAAACTAGAAGGAGTTCAGTGGGATTGGAGCACAGAGGATGGGAAAGATATATGGTGAGGGATTAATAACAAAGCTGACAGTACTGTCACACAGTGCTGGGAACTAGGCCAACCTTCACACAAGTCTGGGAGAAAGGTACTATACGTATTCCCATTTTACAGATGAGAAAATCAAGGCCCAGATAGTGTAGGTAACTTGTACAAGTTACAAACCTAATGAGCAACAGAATTAAAGTTCAAATGCAGGAACTTTGATCCAGAAGCCTAAGGTCTGAAATCCATATGGCTTTCAGTCTCCGGTAGGAGGACTAGGAGGGGTTGG